AAAAAAAAAAAAAAAAAAAAAAAAAAAAAAAAAAAAGAAAGGAAAAAACAGCAAAAGTTAAGTTTTTGTGACGTCAGATTTTTAATAGTACATAGTTAAGGCATGTTTCACCAATGAACAGCATATATGATATATTTATATATTTAATAATAGTATTTCCTGAGTGGAATATATATTTTCATTCAATTTGCTATAGTTCAGATATATTTCGGTTATTGAATAAGTGAGTTATATATCTATATCCATCTCAACATAATACAGTTTAGGGTTATAGTTACTTAAGTTTCTCTTTCTCTTTCCCCCGAGACCTTCATACTAAGCTATAACTCTATCTCTGTTTATTTTTATTTGGAGACAATGTCTCCCTAAGTCACTGCTTTGCCCAGGCTGGGCTTGAAGTGGTGACCCTGACTCAGCCTCCAGAGTGCTGGGATTATGGGCATGTGCCACTATGCCCAGCTTTAGGGCTTACTTTTTTTTTTTTTTGTACCTGGGATCAAACTGCGGACCTTGTGCTTGTGAGGCAGGCAGTGGCACCACTGAGCTAAATCCCCAGCCCTTGCTAAGTAACTTTTAATTGTGCATTAGTAACCATGGATAATATTTGTTACATACTTATTTGTGCTTGGCATTACTTAAGTGCTTTGAGTTCATTAGTTCATTTAGCTTTACAAGAAAGCTATGGGGTAGGCATTTTTACTCTTATTTTACAAATGAAAAAGCTGAAATTTAGGATTGAATGGCTTAATCAAGGTCCTGCAGCCAGTTATGTGGTATAGTTAGAATCGGAACCCATGGCTGTCCAGTCACTCATGAAATACACTGGACGACAACAAATCATGTATCTGCCTGTCAAACAAGATCACATAGGTTTAATTTACCTGTAGAGCTTTTATTAGTTAAATATGTGGAGAAATAATGCGATCAATCCAATAATTCCGACCAAACTGAGAAATGTTAGAAGACAGGACTTCAGAGATTAGGATGTGAAAACTAGTTCCTCTTCCCAGTCACCCTGCGTGGTAGGCACTGGTAAGATGCCCAGGTCACCAATTCGGTTAGGTAGATTTGCCCTGGACCTGTGCCGCGTGGTGGTGATAGGGTGAAGAGTAGGGCAGGCCTTTCCAGGTACAAAGGGCAGGAAAGGCCAAAGAAGCGCAGGTGGGTTAGTGCAGCTGCAGCCCAGCTCCCCTCAGCCAGGAGAGGGAGGCCTCACTCGGCTTCCATGTTAGGACGAAGGCTGTGGGGTGAGGGAAGAGCTGGAGGGAGCCATCCAGGGGACTCTTTAGTGCGGGACAGAAAGCACGACGGCTTGGCCCTGGACAGTGGGGAGGGTTTTGGTGAAAAGATAACAGCTGAGGGGATCAAAGCAAACAAGGGAGCAAAGTGTCAGGGACGAAGACGTAGTCACAGCATCACATGGTGTAGAGAAAGCGGCTGGTTCATCGGGTCTGGAACCAGAAGGTCCTTGGGGTTCACAAAGAAGGCCCCAGGGGCTGAGGCCGGCCGAGGACATACACTGAGTGTGGCCCGGGCTGGCCGCTCTTCTTTCTGTGATTTCTTCCTCTACCTCTAATCTCAGGGAAAGGACAGACCCCCTCCTGGCCAACGCAGGAAATGAAGAGCCTGGTGTGAGCCTTCTAAGGGGCCCGTGATGCAGGAGGGCCCATTGTGTTCTTCCTAGGAGAGGTGCAGAGGACTTGGGGGGTCTGTGCGTCACCCTGAGACCTGCAGCTGTGAGCTGGTGAGCCCTCCAAAGCTCAGTGGAACCTCACTGCCCTCTTCTAGAACGGTCTTCATCTTGCTCTTCTCTCTCCTCCATGTCAGCCTGCAGTCACAGAGCTAAAAGTCTAAACGTAAAGGATTGGCGAACCTGTTATGTTTTTTTCTTGAAACATTTTTATTTATTTATTTAATCGATCGAACTCCGGACCTTTCGCTTGAGAGGCAGGCGGTGGAAACACTGAGCTAAATCCCCGGCCCTGAGTTATACATTTCTAAACAGCAGAGTTAAGTTTTGCCAGTTCTAGCATGGTGTAAAAGTGCAATTATGTGTGTTCTTCTGTATCTTGCTTCTTTTGCTCAAATTGTCTTTTGAGATTTATCCACCTTGAGCGTGGCACTAACACCTTCTTTTTCAAAGTTGAACGATGTTTTGTTGCATGGATCTATCATGCCCTTGGACCATTTTATTGCTTAGAGACTTAGGAGTTATTTCCAGTGTTGAGCAATTATGACCAATGCTGTACCTTTTTGGGAAAAGTCCCTTTGTTTTTGACTTGAGGCTCTAAGAATGTGATTTTACATATCTTTGTGTATTTTGGGGTTTTGGAGTCTTTTTTCAGATCCCCTTGTACTAATGCCCCCAGGTGGTTCCTGTGGGTCCTTGGTTTGCTTACTCATGGGACCCAGCCTGAGGAGTATGAGGAGCATTTCTAAATTAAAATGTTTACAGAGGTCAGGTGAACTGAACACACAAAGAAGCAGTTATTCCCACATCTCCCATTTCCCCTTGGTCTTCCACTTCATTGTTGCAATCTTAGCTGAATGCAGTCAGCTTGCATATTTTCCTACATCGGTCCTTTGATCAGTAAAGTAATTTCTTTTCCTTCCTCTGTACAAATCTTTTGATTATAGTAAGCTCATTCTTTGAAGAACAGACATGGTAAAAATATTAGCAACTTGAGTAATTTTAGCAACGATCTGAAGTAACTGATTTTGCAGGGGATAAAATTAAACCAATTTTATCCAGTGAATCACTGAAATATAATACAACCAGTAATAAGATTAGAGTGTAGTATGTGTTTAGTCACAACATATAAGATAGCATTTAAACTACAGGCTCCAGAGTCGGAAAGACAGGGTCAGGATTTCAGCTCTACCTATTACCACCTGTGTCTTGGTGCATTTCTTAGCCATTCATGGTGGCTTTCCTCAAGTGAAAAATAAGGCTAGTAGAAGTATATTTATTTCATAGGGCTGTGGTGAGCACCCAGTGAGCGCTTAACATAGGACTTGTGTTAGTACAGCTCGATAAATGCTGATTACTGTTGATACATTAAGCTCCTCACCAGGGCAGGATAGCCAGAGTATCTGTTAATAACCTCGACAGAGACAGCGATCTACTTATGTCATCTGTTTATTCAGCATTGAATAGACCAGCAGTAGAGGCTGAGGACTGGACAGAACTCTATGTGCGGAGATGAGACAATTAGGAAATTGTAAGCAAGTGCCAACTTGAGTGAAATATGCTTGAAAACATAAAGTAGGAAGTGATTGCCTTTCAGTGGCAGTGACAGCTTTCCAGGAGTTGCATTTTTGAATTTGATCTTAAATGGAGTAATAGATGCAACTTTGCCAAGAAGAAAATTGAAGTTCTTTCTTCCAGAAAACACGTATATGCAGAGAGGGAGACATAAGTACTCTTTTGGGGATAACAGGAATGGGAATTGTTAGGAAGGGAGAAATAGTTTGTGGTGTATTTTATAAGCAATTTATTAATGGATGGTAAGGAAAATAACTCAGTTCCATTTGGGCTGGTTTTCTGTATCACAAACCCATTGAGACATAGCATAACTATAGTATCCAGTCTGGTGGATTATGGAAAAATGATAATCCTTCACCAAAATAAACTTTCTATTTTCCCTATTTGTTATCATTAATAGAGATAAAAATAATAAAGCACTTTGACATAGTAAAATTAAAACACATATTAAAAAGCAGTCTGGAGCACTCTGGGAAGCTGAGGCAGGAGGATCACAAGTTGGAGCCCAACCTGGGCAACTTGACTTGTAGAGACTATCTCAAAGAAAAAAAAAAACAAAATAAAAATCAAAACCAAAAAAAAAAAAAAAGTCTTGAAAAAATTTTGAGGGTTATTTGGCTAATTTGCTGGCTTTGTCTTTTTTTTTTTCTTTTCTCTTTCTCCACTTTTTTCTTTCCTCCTCTGTGTCTGTGTCTGTGTCTGTCTCTGTCTCTGTGTCTGTCTCTGTCTCTGTCTCTGTCTCTG